ATGCTGCGGTAGATCGTTAATATATATTAGGAAAAGAAATGGTCCTAAGACCGAGCCTTGGGGAACGCCGGAAGTAGCAGGAAGGAGCTTGGATGAGTGGTCATTTACAAGGACAAACTGGGAACGATTTGTTAAGAATTCTTTTATCTATTTTATTATGAGAGCATGTAAGTTCAACACAGATAATATCATTAGTAAACGATTTTGAGGTACAGTGTCAAAAGCTTTTGAGTAGTCTAGAAAGATGACATCTGTTTGAACGTTGTTGTCAAGATTAGCATGGAGATCATGGAGGAAAATTGCTAGTTGTGTTTCACAAGAAAGTCCCTTACGAAAGCCATGTTGAGAAGGATGAAAGAAATTAACTGAATCCAAAAAGGCCATGATATGTGAATATATGACATGTTCCATGATTTTGCAAGGGACACTAGTTAAAAAATGGGGCAGTAGTTTAAAGGGGAGTCTTTGTTACCTGCTTTGAAGACTGGAACGACCTTTCCCACTTTCCAATCACATGGTAAGGAACCTGTAGACAATGACTCAGAAAACAATAGGGTAAGACATGCTGAAGATACGTGCTTTAGTATTCATTAGAATGTTGGAGTTGAATTAATCTACACTTGAAAAAGTACACAGTTTGCTTTTTTCAATAATTGACGGTATACCATCAGTAGAAAAGACAATGGGCGGCATCTGCGATGTTGTGTTAGTAGGCATCAGAACGACTGGGGTGATAGTTTCTTTTGTAAATAAAATGCTGCATTGAAGATATCGGCACACTCAGCATCCGACGCTGTTGCGCCTTCTGTATTCATTAAAGTGATAGACCGGGTGTCCAGGGGATTTAAAACGTGCCAGAACTGCCGAGGATTATGAGTAAGTAGCTGGGGCAGGTCAATGTTAAAAAATGTTTTTTTAGCAGTTAGGACAGTAGTCAAGTAGTTGTCCTCTGCTATGTAGTAGTTTGACCATGCCTCTGTGCTTCCAAGACGTGTGGCTAAACGGAAGCGACGCTTCTTTTTATTTTCAAGAGTCTTTAGAGTTCTCGTGAACCTTGGCTTATTTTGATTCGTGTGTAATGTTAGCCTTGGAATGTATTTGGTTACGAGTTCGTTGATTTTGTCTCGGAATAGCGTTCAGTTCTCCTGAAGTGTGCGCGTTGGGAATAATGCCTCGAAGGTTGAAAAGAAGTCGCCTAGCTCATTGTTAATGGCTTCGTAATTCCCTTTGTGATATAGGCGTATAGATTTGTTCGACTGTAGTTTTCGTATCGGTTAGAAGGTGAAGATGATCGCTTACTTCGCGGAGGTAAGTTAATGATGATAGACTGCCGGGGCGGCTGGTTAGTATAAGGTCGAGTATACTAGAGGTATCTTTTGTAACCCGCATGGGCTCCAAGACAAGTTGAGTTAGATTGAGATTATGATGTACATTAACGAAATCAATGGCAGCTTCATTCCCTGTGATTAAAACGGTATCATTATTCCAGCTTATTTGCGGGAAATCAAAATCCCCCAAAAGCAGGACATCTGCGTTGGGGTGTTTTTTGCTAAGCTCGTATACGATGTTAATAAGGTCGCGTGCGAAATCAGGAACGTTATGTGGCGGCCTGTAGCAAACGCCCAAAAGGACTGTCTGCGGTGAGGCGCGACAGATCACCCATATCATTTCTAAGTTAGCTTCAATGGTAACAAGAGAGCAAGATAAATTCTGATGCACGGCAATAAGCACACCACCACCTCGTGAGGCCTTGTGATCCTTCCGATAAAGACAGAAGTTCGGCAGATCTGGAAGTACCTGGGTATCGATAATAACATCAGTCAACCATGTTTCAGTTATTATTAGTAAATTGCTGTTGAACGACAATACAAGACTAGACATTATATCGCGTTAAGGGATGAAACTTCGTGCGATGGCATAGATCACGGAAAGGCGAAGGTTAGCTCGTTCCGGTATCATAGCTCGGGGGCGTGACTTGCGGCCAGGCAATTGCTATTGCATCTCTCTTACACTCTTTGTACGCTCATCATAAGCATAGCGCTCACTACCCATGAAAAGGGTTTTAAAGCGCAGAGAATAAGGTGCAGATTTGCTTTTTGCAAAAGCAACTAGGTGTTTGCGGGCAGTTTGGACATTACGTGTGAAATCTTCGCCAACACTGAAGCCCGTCCCTTTGAACTTGCACCCGTTGGAAAGGACTTGTTCTTTTGTTTTGTGAAAAGAGAATTTAACTATTATGGGGCGGTTTCGACCAGTTGTACGATTACCCAAGCGATGCGTGCGCTCAATTTCTTTCGCATCAAGCGCAATGTTCAGATGTTTGTTACAGTGATCTATGATTATATTCTCTGAAAACGCAAACGACTCTGATCCCGAAGACTCAGAAATATCATAAAAAAAGTAGATTGTTACGCCTGGAATGGTTTTTGGCATCATCAATGTGCGTTTCTAGCCTCTGGATTGTCTGTGCTGCGCAAGCAGTAACACTTCGCATATTTTCTATATCGGAACGCAAAAGGGCTAGATTTTGGTAGTGCCTTTCAAGGTTAGTCATACGAACGCTCAGATCAGTTATAGCTTTGTCGGTTGTATTCATCTGAGACTTCAGGTCTTTAATCTCCGTAATTAGTTGCGTTTGACCTGCAGACAATTTCCTAAGTTTATTTGATACAGCTTGATTATCAGGTCCGGGGTTTGTTTCGATGTCACCCGCCAACAATAGCAACGAGTGAATAACATCACAGCTCTGAACAACAATGGAAAGGCAGCAATGCGGGCCCGGCAGCTGCAGCAGGAAGTAGTTACTTGACCGCTTAGTAAAAAGACAGTGTGCTTTACAACCTGCATGGCGAACATGAGCGGATTAGCCTGCTGTGTTGATGCACAGCAGCCAGGCCCCCAAAGCTTCTCTGGCCGCGCTTGCTCCTTTATAGCTTGCTGAGTTGATGTCGGTGGCAGTCCGTATTCCAGCCGCGCATCGAGTGATGCCACTAGGGGTGACGGGGTACAGTTCAGATGAGCAGCTGGATTCAGCAACAGTGCCGGCGACTTGGGTGTGATGCAGGAATCCATTGGATTGCTGAATGCAGCGTCATCGTTGTTGGTGTGCCAGGAAAGATGCGGTTGGGCTATTTCGGCAGAAGCAGCAGTCAGGGCAGGAAGCAAAACGCGAACGATTACGTGAAGTGACACCTGCATGGCGAACATGAGCGAATCAGCCTGCTGTGTTGACGCACAGCAGCCAGGCCCACAAAGCTTCTTTGGCCGCGCTTGCTCCTTTATAGCTTGCCGAGTTGATGTCGTTGGCAGTCCGTATTCCAGCCGCGCACCGAGTGTTGCCGCCAGGGGTGACGGGGTACAGTTCAGATGAGCAGCCGGATTCAGCAACAGTGCCGGCGACGTGGGTGTGATGCAGGAATCTATCGGATGGCCGAAAGCAGCGTCATCGTCGTTGGCGTGCCAGGAAAGATGCGGTTGGGCTATTTCCGTAGAAGCAACAGTCAGGGCAGGAAGCAAAACGCGGACGATCACGTGAAGTGACACCTGCATGGCGAACATAAGCGGATTAGCCTGCTGTGTTGACGCACAGCAGCCGGGCCCTTTTTCTTGCTTTTTTTGTAGCCCACATTCTATGTTGAATTCTATGGAAGACTCGCCTGTGACAATGGTGCACCAAATGTCCAGCTGAACATCCTTTGCACAGTTGCGATTTGGATGTTGTTTAGGAGCTGCGCAGAATGCAAAAAGAGACTCGTATTGAAATTTATTACTACTGCTGCAGCAAGTGCTGCTAGTAGCTGGTTTGAACTCTGCACGTAAGAATATTGAATTGGTACCTATATTGTTTGTGTTGCTGCTTTGAAAGCTTTTGATACCCGGACAAAACATGAGCATCTAGAGTACTTGAACTGCAAGAACACCCTTGATAATTGCCGATCAGCAGACCACCAACAGTTATCACATAGCTGCAGGAGGCACTGCTTTTGTCAACATGGCTCATTCATTCTGTTTTGCATAAGCTAGTTGTAATAGACGTTAGTGTCACGAGTTTTATTTTTGGAGCAATCGCGTGTATTTCCAGCCCTTAAAATTGTATAAACATAAGAGAGCGGAGAGCCTGTCCTGTGCCTTTTTCTTTTTTCTCTCTTTTTTCCATTTTCTTTTAACGCATGAAGTGCAGGAAAACTAGATTTTCCAACTATTCCAGCTTTCCATTGTAAACTACTGTATGAACACCTGAGGCACTTTTTTTTAATGGATGCCAACATAATCTTCCGCATATAGGGAGATTGTGTGTGTGCAGTGTCCATGATTGAATATGACTGAATGTGTCACGTATGAGTTTTTTCATTTCTTTACTTTTTTCACTCGTGATGCTAATGTCAATGTGAGAAAATCCATAAACAAGGGTTGTGTCGAGCTGACGTTTCAGCAAGTGGGCTTGTCTTCCTCAAGGCTAGAACACAACTGATTTCTTTAATTCCAGCGTGTCTACGTTTCGTACCCGTTCCTACATTCTAACAGAGCAGGGGGAGAGAGCAACATTGGATATGTGGGTGTGAGAGAGCGGGGTTCGACAAATTGTGTGAGTAAAGAGGGAACAGTTGTGAATAAAAAGAACATAAGAAAGCGATGGGGTGATAGAATGCACACGTGTCGCTGAATCCCGGTTGTCGGAAGTTAACGGTAGATTTGAAAGTTAAAGACAGAGGGCTTAACCTGCATTGGTCTTCTTTGTGTATGTACCACACTAAATGGATATAAGAGCCCCTTTAAAAATGTTTATACCTACTGGACGGAGTGTGTGGAACTTGGGGATAAGCCATGACTCTGTACATTTTTGGTCTGTTGCAGACCGAAAGTTTGACTGAAATATGTAGAGTCACTCAAGTGATGTTGTGCTACATTTAAAATTGTGTCGCTGATTTGGTAGCAGAACATTTTAATGTAGCAGGACACGGCTGTACTAACAAAAATAATAAATAAATATTTCTGCGCAGGTGTTCAAGCCTGTAATCCAGGGAGTGATGGAGTTCTTCCAGCCGAGTTGCATCGTGCTGCAGTGTGGGGCCGACTCGTTGGCAGGCGACCGGCTGGGCTGCTTCAACCTGAGCATACGCGGCCACGGCGAGTGTGTGAAGTTCATTCGCGAGTTAGGCCTGCCGCTGCTGGTGCTTGGTGGTGGCGGATACACGGTGCGCAACGTGGCACGTGCCTGGACATACGAGACGTCCCTCCTGTTGGACGAGCCCGTCAGCTCGGAGATTCCTTACAATGAATACTTCGAGTACTTTGCCCCCGACTTTACTCTGCACCCGGAAGTGGTCACTCGGCAGGTGAGCGGTCTTGCAGGATGGGGCTTGAGCATCAAGGGCTGCTAAAGCCCCTGTTTCATCAGAAGGCTCCAGTGGCAGCCGCCGTTCACAGTCTCTACCATTCTGTGCACAACACAGTTCAGAGTTGTTAGTACTCTCGAAGGAATCCACTAAAGCGTAGAAATATTACTGGGAAGAACTGGAGGTCAACAGGTAGGCAGTTTGATCCCACTCCTGCATCGGCTTTTTGCCTCTCAGTTTTACCTATTTTCACGTTTTACTAGCTTTCTTCGAATGCCTATTGTATGGCAGTACACTCGAAGCTTAGTATAACAAAATCACATCTATCTCGAAAACGCTTCATTATGTCTCAAAATTGTTAGAAAGGTATTTTCATAACACTTTATCTATGACAAAATTATTCTTAACTTACGTCATTATAACCAATAATTCTTTATAACCAGTGCTCTTTATATTGAAGTTTGAGCGCCACACTGCTTGTTGAATGTATATTACAATGTGCAGTGGTGTGATAGCTGCATCATTTGCATACCTACCAACTTTCCAGATTGTATGAATGCTTGCTCGAACCTCCCAAAAAGCGGCCGCCATAGCTGATCCATATTTTTTATTCGTGCGCTTTCGTCAACCTTTCCAGCTGCCACAGTTGAGGTGCTGTGAAAGTGCACACTTCACTACACTTCTATTGTTCATTTCAATTTTTAACCATACTGTCGAGTACCGCTAAGCATATTCTATAGTACTGCTCATCTGAGTCAAGGCCGGCAACCGTGAGATGTGCTCGCCACCGTACCGAAGGGGGTAAGGTACTGCAGCTCCTGCGTTACCTTTTGTGTCTCTACCCCTGCATTTCACACCCTAGACCTCCGATGCGTCACTTGTGTTTTTTATGTGGTTGTGTGGGTTGCGTGTTTCCCCAAGTTCAATTGGAAGTTCGATGGCGGTGTCAAAGAAAGAAGTATTTGCAAGTGTCTCTAGACTCACACACAGTGGAGTTTTGGTGCTTCATGACTGCATGGAAAGGTCACAAGTATATGGATTCTGTACCATGTGCACCTGTAATGCAAGCATTAGACATGTTGGCAACGCCAAGATAAAGGTGCACATCGCTTCACAGAAGCGTGGGAACTATGTGCTGTGAAAGGGCAGCGTAACGTAGGAAGTTTGTTCAAGAAGAGCTGTGAAGACTGCGCAATCTGCGCAGAATTCCTATGTATCAACGGGATTTATTGGGGAACACAACTTGCTGCTAAGCGGTGATCCATGATTATGCAAGACCGTTGTTTCGGAAAATGTTTCCGAAGTGCGAGGACACGAAGCGGTACAGGTTCGGACATGCAAGAGCAACTGCCATCATCGGGAAAACGTCTGCAGATGCCGAAAACACTATGGTGGAGGCTCTGAAACGTTGTGCTTTCGCGATTGCAGTGGATGGAAGTAGCAACAGCGGGTTGCAAATATCTGTCTCGGTAATACCCCAGCTGCGGTCTCCCGAATATTCACGCTCCTAGGTTGCCAGGTATGCAGTTGCGCCAAAAGACCAGCCCTGCTACATTCTCCTACATTTTCGCTATTCTGGGATAAAGCTTTGCCAATTATGGTATTTTCATATTTCAAAAATGAAACTAGTAATCGTTCGACATTAAACACTCAAGCATATGCCTGTCCTCACGTGCTCTCATCATGCTACAGTGGCAGTGAGCACACGTAGATTAAGTGGTCGAATGTACATGCCTGTGCAGAGGTGCTAATCAGACTGCCTTTCTATTGCACCACTGAATGCATCGCCAGAAAAGTGAGTACTATGTGCACTATGACCAAAACACCCTTTTTGAAAGACTTTGCAGGTGCAACAAGTGACGAACAGGCAGCCATGCTGTTCCGAATATCGAGTAGTGTAGTTCGTTGGGAATTACTTTAAATTTGCAAATGTTGAAAAGCTAACGTTTAGAGACTGGCTGTGCCAACAAAACGAACACATAGAAAAAAACAGAAAAGTGCTGTAGCAGAAAGTCATCGACTAGCTATAGCCGACCGAACTTCTGCATGCTTTCGATTTTCAGGCACGATGCCAAAGGCAATGGCGGCCGCGAACCAGCACTAGGAGTGTTGCAAGTGCATGTCCTCATTCTCGTAAATGATTTGAGTTGCTGCTTTTGTAATATGAAGTTCGTTTCCATCCATTGACCCCTTTCAGAGCGAACTTACTGCAAAGTTTTTCATTGACTGTTCACCAAACTGCACTTCTGTGGCTGCTATCGATGAGATAGTAGCGCGCTTATTGCTCCTTAGGCCTACCCTACGGGTTCATAACTTGGCATGTCACATATAGACAACATAAGATCAGGCGGGGAAGAGGTCTCGCTCATGGGCTCCACCAAGGGTAGCGAGTTTGGGTTTGTGGTCGGGAGAACAGCTGCCACAACTACCGTGTTTACTCGCAGAATCCTTGCACTTTTTTTTGCCGGAAAACCGATGCAAAGTTGGGGGTGCGAGAATTACGCTGGGAAAACTTTCCACGAAAACGTAGACAGTGAAAAAGAAAACGAAGTGGCCGCAAATCGGGATTCTCACACCAGCAACATACAGCAAGCTTTAAGAAGTACTAATTGGAACTTACCTCAACAATAAAAGCAGAGGTTCAACTCAAAGCAAGATTTATTTGAGACACAAAAAGTGGAAGCAAATAGTCGAGAATTAGAATACCTTACGCAAAGCTTGTGGGCATTGCGGGCATAGCAGTAGCGTTCGTCACTCAACAGGAGCCTTCAAAAAGTAAGCGTAGGACGTCAATATTGGGCTGATGGCAATTTAACAGAATCGTCCGCAGTTTCCTTCTGAAGAAATAAAGTTTACCATCAATCCCAGTTTTAGGCACACGGCAGGCCCAACGCGCCTTTGTGGCTTTCAGCTGCCGTCACCAGTAGAGAACACAAAACTCGTAGGCTACGGTATATTCGGCATTAGCCTGCCAAGCTTACACATCCGCCTGCAGATGCTCGCGCAGAAGAAGCCTGCATAGCAAAGCCTTTACATTTGCGGAGCAGCGCCCTCATTGATAATGGAATCAAGGTCACACATGTGATGCTTGTGTTCATACGATGATGTAACTACTTTTCAGACAAAAAAAAAAAGAGAAAATCTGAGCAGTGCTACCATGCACGTGATGTGGGCATGGGCATTTGTTTGGTGCATAGTGTACGCATAGAACGTCTGGCAAGTGGTTGAAGCGAAATGTCTTATGGCGCCTAGACAACCCTTCTTCGTACAACGCGCCCATGTCACATTCTTTCTTTTTCTTTAGCGGCGAAGCTGTTCTAGCTTGTTGTCGTGACACAAAACTATCATCATCACAAACCAGCACGAGCTCAGTTCCTCCTCCTCTGAAGTCATTTGTGCTGTACGCACGTATCGTGGATTAGCCTCAATTAGGTTTAACAGCAACTGAGCAAGACCTGTGGCTGTGCTAATGTGGGGTAAAGCCTCTGAATAAAATGAAAGTAACGCCAACTATTCCTCTTACACCGGTGTCTTCTTTCGACCGTGGCTCCACCTATGCAGCGCCTAGCTAGCCGACGCTGTCTGCATCGAACTCGTTGCCGTAAATTGCCCGCTCTTGTCAGCTGCTATTTCGATGAGATGAAGAAATGTGATGTTATTACTCACTGCTTAAGCACAATGAGAGGACAACATAAGGCAGGAAAACCTTTATTGGCAAGTGTGCTTGGACCTCCTCACCCCAGCAAGCTGCAATGCCAGGTGAGAGGAAATGTTGTTGCGCTTCGGTGGCTTTGCTATTCGTGACAAAAAACTACTGCGTGCCACGGCAGCCTTTATCAGACTGATACAGATATCTATCGACGAGATGACGCGAAGAGAAAAAGGCTTGCTCGAAGCAGCTGGCGCTGCAAAGAAAATAGGAATATACATTGAAATCAAGGTAGAACGAACACCACATTAACAAACCTTCCAGATTAACGAACTTTTAAAAAATTTCATACTGACTGCTAATAGATTTAGTGTAAAATTATTTTCTTGCTATGTACTTCAAAACAAGGAGCGCTAGTTTAGTTTCGTGTTATATTTTAACAATGCCTCAGTACTACGAACTCGTGTTCTGAAATCTGTCGCGGCCACCAGAGTGGTACGCAAGCAGACAGCGAACGAACGCCTTGCTTTTCGGAAGACGCGTGATGGTGCGGAGGGTGGGGTGGGGGGGGAACGAAAGAACGACTTTTTTTCTTTTTGTTGAATTGCCGACGCTGCAGGTTTACAAGCGCACTGGCGAGGGGCAAGGGCAACACGAGAGCTCAAAGTCAGCGTGGCAGTGTGTGAGTTGCAAAGCAGGAAACATGGGCGCGGAAAACCTGAGACACCAAGGGAGAAGAAAACGAAACACGAGGAATTTTCTTTTTTAGCTCTTTCTTCTCTTCGGAAGAGACAAGAGGCCCATATGAAAGTCCAGAATGAGACACTGAATGAATCAGCAGTGCAAGAAAGAATAGCATCCTTCGCTGAAAAGCAGCAACTGGCTGTGAAGACCTGCTTTCTTGCTGCCCAACGACAATCTGTGAAAGGCATGTCGTACGATGAGAACTGGATAGTCGAGTGCCTTTGATGCGAATGCGCTGCCTAAGAGTCTATGAGCACCTGCGCAAGGAAAATATATTTGTTTTGCTGGGGTGAGCTTGCCTGCGAAAATACCTGCAGTGGTTTAAAGGCAGTTTTGGACTTAATCTAGATATATTTTCTGCCTTGAAAGAAAAAACCAGGAAGATGGATTCCTTCAGTCAGCTCCGGATAAAGTATCTCTTTGCGATTGACAATTATGCCACATGATCTGATTACCTCGGCACATATAGCAGTAAATCCTTATCATGATGCCGCATCATACTGAGTGTGATATGTCGCTAATAAAATAAAATATCACCACGACAGAGTGGTGCAAATGGCAGTTGATTAGATTGAGGTTGAGTAAAATCACTGCTTTGGAAACAACG